ATTTATTGGCTTAAGCACTGGGAATAATTGTTTGTCCATTGTGACAAATTTTCCAGATAGAAAGTAAACATCTTAATCAATATCATCTATTTGCTGACGTTTCAGAAGGATTCAAGATTAGCCACAAGTACTAATTCTACACGGATACCAGAAATCAGGCCATTGAGATCATCCCAGTATATTTTCCTTCTGCATCATTTTTGTGCTGCTAAAAATAAAGTACCAATACCTGCTACTTTTTCTAGACAAAGAAGCAATTTAGTGCTGTTATTCATAAGCAGACTTAAGAATTAATAGTTTTCATTATCCAAATATTATAGCGTTCCCATCCTCATGTCCCTTCAACGGAAAATGATATTATTGATGTGCTGGGATGGGAAATAGTATAAAAAAAGTAAATAGAAACTATTCACTGCTCAGTATTTACCACACAACATAGCAGTTACTGCAGGTTTTTAAGGGCCCAGGTTCAGACAGCGTAATTTCCCTGCTGTAAATCACTTTAAAGCATATTTTTGCCTCATTGCATATTCTTCCATCATTCCACACTCAGAATCAAAATGGTTAACAGTGATAGCTCTGTGCAACCCATTAACTCTTATTTTGTTAGTGAGTTCTGACCACATCTAACAGGTCAGCAGTCCACCACATCGGCCAAGACTGCCGATCCAAACAGAAACCTGCAGAGCTAAAAGGTTTCCACACCCAGTTTGAATTCAGGAATCGGTCTCTTGTAAGAAATCCACAGGCTGACCCTGAAACCATTCATCATGTGAACGGTTACTGTCCAGAGAATTGTTTGCCTAATCTGATGTGGGTGCTGCCATATTTCATAGAATTATTAACTTCTAAAGACAAAATCCCCAACTATATTTTAGTAGTGCATTGAGAAACCCATAATAAAAACAGAACAGTGAGTTATGCTTTCATTTTGCTATAATCATTGCCGTCTTATCAAACCCATGATATAAAATTGTATATACATCAAATATAAATCCCCCCTTTAGAGTTATTTATTTACCATGCTCTGCAGAATCCTGGTATTCTGAAATGTCTGAGTGGAGATGTTGAATACAAATACCCAGGGAGATGCTCAATCCTGACTTGGATCCAGCAATACAAGAGCAAAGGTTCTAGCAGAGCAGCCCTGATGCCATTACTTAAGGACTTTTAATGTCCCTGTCCCCAGGTTTTCTCCAGCCCCTCTGGTGGGGCTGTCCTTGTACCAAATCATAGAATCATAGAATCTTTTAGGTTGGAAAGTACCTTTAAGATCATCCAGGCCAACCATTAACCTAACATTACCAAGTCCACCGCTAAACCAATTAAGGGGAGAGTAGCAATCTCATGTTTCCTGGCTTGGTGACTGGATTTTTTTAATGAAAGTAAAAACTAGGAATCATTAAGATTGGAAAGGATCTCTAAGATCATCAACCCAACACCCCCATGCCCACTAAACCATGTCCCGATAGTGCCACACCTACCCATTTTTTGAACACCTCCAGGGATGGGGACTCCACCACCTCTCTGGGCAGCCTGTTCCAATGCTTGGCCACCCTTCCCGTGAAGAAATTTTTCCTAATATCCAATCTCAACCTCCCCAGCGCAGCTTGAGCCCATGAAATGAAGCAGAACAAGATGAGCACATGCTCCTCAACACTCTGATTCACTGTCCGGTATCTACAGTTAAGCCACTGATGAACGGGCATTTGTGAAAACCCACACGTAGCCATTCTGCTGTGGCTGGAGCCGGGGAGGAAAGCACGGCGGTGGCGGTCAGAAAAAAAGCCTACAAAATGCTGGGGCTCAACCAAAAGCCAGAAAGTCACCAACCTTTTCTCCAGAAGGTCCCCTTTGCAGGAGGAGAGGTTCTAGATTAAAATTTAGCTGGCTCTTCTCTCAAATTCTAAGATCTGGTCTCACACCCTTCTGCCTTGCTATGCAGCACTTCTCTTCCTTCCTGCATTATCAGCTTGTAGAAAACATAGTCAGGACCCAACTTGGAAACGATTCCTGTAGTAACAATTCATGATACAGTCCAACTAGCGCCTGTTCCCTGCATGATATCAACCTGACTTTGAAGTTATGATTATTTGTATAAAAAAAAAGTATGAAAACACAAAGAGGATGTCAGTGCACGGATTTGCAGAAACAAAATATCCTAAGGAACCTAAACTAAAATGCAGGCCTGTACTAAACTGTCTGTAATCCAAGTTCATTACAATATTGGGGAATAAACTGGAAAGCTACCCTTTGCATGATTTTACCCGGTTTTAGCATAAAGATGTAGAAAGCAGCTCACATGAAAAGTTTCCTACTCTAGAGTTATTCTGAGCACATTTCTGAAAAACACTACACTTGCTGCAATTTAGATTCTTTTGTTTTGATTGCTTGTTAGATTTAGTTGCACCAAACAAACAAAAAAAATTAGGATGCACACAGTAAAACGTGCAACGTTTAATTTACAACAAATAATAAAACTCGAACCATAATCAGCATTTCCTTTTTCCAGAGAAAACATTACGCTGAACTTAATTTTACAGCTGTACAAATTGTTTTAAAGTAATCTGCTCAATTGGGCGAGTTAATGATATTTAATTTGACCAGGCCAAACTTTACACGCTGTGCATTACTGTGAGCAATTGTGGTCAATACAAGCATTTGTGTAATGTAAATGCAATGCTAACACCTTCCATTCTCAGCTGGCTTAACAAAAAACCTGGTGTCATCGCCTCTCTAAGATAAACCAAAGATGACAGCGTAATAAGTGTTATGTGCACAAGGTAATTCAGCAGGTATTTAGCCTTTTCAATCGATTCTGCACTCAAGTTAACCCTCTTTATTATCACCCAGCTTTTTGCTGTGGGCAATACGTTATGTACGGGCTAAATTCAGTTACTGTGCTGAGTAATGTTACTTGTTCAGTTGCCCCGCTTACTTTAATGGGACTAAACACGGCATAGCACAGTGTGAACAAAATGTTATCTGATACAAGTAAAGATACCGGAATCTGGACACACGTTTTAGCGTTTTCCATCATATTCAAGAAGCTAATGCGGCAGAGTCACTACATTAGTATACATTTCAGACACGTACAAAAATGATTAAATGACAAAATAGTAGCCACCACTAATACCTGAGGCGAGACACTAATGCATTTATGTCCAATCACGGCAATTCATTATTTTTATGCCTTGGAAAAAATACGCTACCCTTCCATGCACTTCCATGCAGAAGGCAACAGTTTCCACTGTGCAACTCGTACCTCTGATTACAGATACAGTAACGTGCTTTATCAAGTGAATAGCTGTCTGATTGGGAAGAGTACAATGTAAGATATCATTCATAAAGAAAAATATATTAAAAAAGTATGCTCCTTGGTGAGGAGGACTGCTACGAGAGGCGTCCTCGCTGGCAGTGCTAGGAGCATCTTCAAGTCTCGAATTGCAGTTTATCTCTGCATGTCAGCCCACGCTTGCCCCAGTCCAAAGAACACGGTAACAATTATATGATAGCACGATGCTTTAGGATTGTCATTTCATTATACAGCTTTCGCTAACACATTGCTCTGGGCAGCTTCTCTTTAATTGTCGCTTTTCATCTGTATTAAAATGCCAACAGTTTGCAGGTTAAAAGAGGATAAAAACTTCAATATTGGAGTTACCGGTGGTTACCACTATGTCTGTAACGCAGTTCTTTGCATATGAGCCCACAGACCTTTTGGATTTGCAGATGTCTCAATAAACAAGCCAAATTTCAAAAGAAATCTCCATCTTGGGCTGGAAACAGCAGGAAGCAAGCACACATTCAGTCTTTACACCACAGTTCACTCCACACTGTTCACTGTGTTTCGCTCCCCTAAAATTACAATCTGTGCAGAGACACAGAAACATGAAAATTTCTCACAAACCAAAACTCAAAATGACAATTAAGGTTTTGCGGCTTTATAGAAATTCTGGCAAATATGACCTCATCTCTTTCACAACCCCTGGGTAGACTTAGATACTTATGGAAGAATTCATTAGAAACCACGTGAGGAAGGAAGCCAAGCATGAGTGAAACGCAAAGCCCAAGTGGGCTGCAAGTGCTCAAGACCTCTGTCTGGATCAGGAAGGACACCCCTGCTTGCCAAAGATTTGAAACCATAAACCTTGTACTAAAATTAAATGCCTCATCTTGGGTTTGCTGCTGTGAAGAGGAGCTTCACTACTGCTTTGAGATAGGAGGGATCTGTGTTCAAATTCTTTTCTCAGTCCCCCACCTTCCACAGCCTGGCACGTCTGGTATTGGTAGTTCTCAGTGGGGTCTCAGTCACGTTTAGTAAAGGCGTTCTGTTATGTGTAAGTATTCGCTCAACCAGGAGATGATGGTGGCGAGATCTGGGGATGGGAAATGGCCAAGCTACACAGATGAAAAGTGATTTTGAAAAGACACCCATGATTGATTTTTTTTCCTTATTATTTCTATTCCTTATCCCAGTATAGAGATCCCATCCCTAAAATGCAGGGGGGTTTTATTGCAGTGAACGGGTACCATCGTGATGTTTCATCTGAAAAATGATTGGACACAGATACGTAATTTTGTAATTTCAGCTCTTGTCCCAGTAGTTCTGTTCAGAAATAGGGTTAAAACATCTTTAAAAAAAACAACAAAAAAAAACCCTAGAAAAATTACAGAAGAATCGGTAACTTGTTTGACCAAGGGCTGAGGGATTTCTAATCTGCAAGAAACAAATGGGATGTTGGTTTGTACTTTAGCTCAAAGAGTAAGCCCAGTAAAATCTAACTATCAAAATAAAAAGCAGAGCACAGAGTTTGTAAAGTTACTGTAGCGAAAGGGGAAAATGAGAGATGCGTAACATTGCAGAAATAGTTCCTAGTACTTGCTGTGTGTACCTGTAGATGGAAACTGAGACTTTTCCATCAACAGCCAAACCCAACAAAGATACCCTTCACCTTCTGGCTGTTTCTCTCATTGCTTTGCTTGCTTTCTTCCTGCAGGTCAATGGGAAGGATTTATCGAAAGCAACACACGAGCAGGCAGTGGAAGCATTCAAAACAGCCAAGGAGCCCATTGTGGTGCAGGTCCTGAGAAGAACCCCACGCACCAAGGTCTTCACTCCTCCTCACGACTCTCAGCTGGTGGATGTGGGCACACAGACAGATATCACTTTTGAACACATCATGGCTCTCAGCAAGATGGGCTCACCTACTCCCCCCGTCTCTGTGCTAGACCCGTACCTCCTACCCGAAGAGTAAGTAACAGTTCATGAAGCCCTTGAAAATCCTTGCATTCCTTAACGTGGCGTGTTAGTTCACAAACTCACCTTTACTTGCTGGCGAACCTGTACTCCCAGAAGTAGCCAGGATTCATACACCACTGAGCCATAACTCAAAACATTCATTTTTTTCTACACACTAGCAAGCCATTACTCACATGAGTAATGCCACTGAATCACAACATGGCCTCATAAAGCTCATTTTTTGCTGGCATTTGATGGATAAAGTTATTGCTTCTTGTAATTCCTCTCACTGCCTCTTTGGGTTGCTTATGTTTTAACTTTATTTTTTATGGCTGCCATAAATTGTGTAATGCTAAGAGCTGCTACATTCTGTTCCGGTGTATTAATTACTTTATTATAACCCTGCAGCGATGTTACTCAAATAAATTATTTTCTAGGACTAAAATTACTTACCAGTGCTGTCATGGATGTTTTAGAATCAAATTTTAATTATTGTTAATGGTAGTTTGATGCCTTTGTACTTACAAATAAAAATGACAATTATCTCCTGGCACACACACACCACGCCCTCACACGCTGTTCGAGAGGCAAACGGCTCCCCAAGGAACCCCTGCAAGTTGCCTGTCATCTTGCCACGCATCTCCACAAGGGAGAAAGTAATAGAAAGGATTCTGAACATCTCGGTTGCTGCGTATGAGAGACCGTGATCTGGTCAATCACAGCCATTCCTGGTTTTGAGGTGATCCTGCACACGGTGAGAGGCAGGGCTAGCGTGCACGCGTCCTGGCTACGCAGTACAGCTCTGGAAGGGCAACCCCACAGAGAGCCTGAGCTGTGAACATCAGCACACAAACACAGCCCAGCGCACCCCTCCGAACATCCCTGTCAGCGCTCCTAGGAAATAGAGTTTGAGTACACACAGGCACTGATCCGGTACTGCTCCTGAGTGACTTTCATGGCATGTTAATGTTCACACATTCAGCCAGGAGCTGGGCTTCTGCGTGCAGTGGCTGCTCCTTTCATGACTCCCAGTGCTGATGACTTGAAAGTTGGTTCCATCAGCTATTACTGCAGGCCCACCTATTCCCAGCCTATTGAAAATTCAAGCACAGCTGCATGTTTTAGTGGAAACGTTTGACAAAAGGCTAGTTTTGAGCTTGTTTGCAGTGAACGAACAGCAGGGCTTAGAGCGCTGCGGAGAGGACATGCTTATTCCTAGAGCACCTACGCTGCGTACCCCCCACACACATTTGCAAGAGGGGTTTCAATACCTGCAACTTTGCAGCTGCAAAACCAAACACATAAGGAAAACGACAAAGATTAACTCATAATGAACCATTCAGATTGCACCATGCCTGCATAATACCATCTCAGTCCTATCAAGTAACTTCATATTGCCCCTTAATCGTTAGGCATAGATCCCAACTGCTGGCATCGTCAGTGGCCTTACTTTGAGCTGTAGATGTCGGTCTTGACCACGTGGCCTGCCTCATGGCTATCCCTACGTACGAGGGCAGGCAGTTAGCTATTCAAGTATGCTGTCACCCAGCACGTGCAAGCAAGCAGAGTCATTTTTTTTTTCCTGAAGCTTCCTGTAACTTCTCCAAATCCCATTCAAATTAATCTAGCCTGTGTATAACAAACTTGGGTATCTTAGCCAATTAGCAGATGCTGTTACATAAATAGCCTCACACTTACAAAGAAACACATATCTAGTTAACAGAAAATTAAAGGGAGTTTACTTTCACTGCAGAAATAAAATCCCAGCATAGAAAAAAGTGATCACAAGAGCATTACACTGCTTCCAACTTCCAAAGTGTAGACAGTGAAACTGTCGGAGAGCTCAAGTTGTAAAGAGCAGCATGCCAAAAATGAATGGCAATATGAAGAGTGGTGCATGTTTAAACAGTATTTACATTATTATGCACAGCCTGTTGCATTCAAATCAATCAACAGAATGCTGTTGATGCAAATAGTTGGGTGGCAAATTCTTTTTATTATACTTAGCAATTTGATACAATTTTGCATCTTTAAGGCCAAGTACAAGTATGAAACAAGTAGGCAAGGGTGATTTTACTTGCATGTCTGCAAATAACCTGAGCTTATAAGTAAATAATCTAGTATTCCCTCTCGTCTTGAACCCTGGCACATATCTGCCCACTTAGCTGTTACCTGGTACCCCTTACCCTACTTCGCCGCTATTCTCTCTACATATTTTTTTCCCCAAGTCAGCTTTACATTTCGAGAAAAATCATTAATAAATGCTAAGACTCTTTACAAGTCTCTCATTCATCATCAGGTGCCAAATGTTTTAGACTCCTCTTCTAACACATGTAATTTTTAATACATTTATTGGTGTAAATGGTATAGTATATACAATTAACCACATGGAGCTTCTTGGTTTGGTTGCTAGTCCATCATGTCACGATGACTTGCTCTAAGCTTGGAAAGGATTAATAAGCTAACTAGAGTACTGAGTGCTGTCCTAAAATACACCTTTTTTTCCCAGCCATCCATCAGTACACGAATACTATGACCCAAATGACTACATGGGAGGAATTCATCAAGAAATGGACCGAGATGAGTTGGAATTAGAGGTACTTAGTCTGTAGTAACTATGGCATTTACTGAAAGTTTAACATGTACATATCATGGTCTTTATATTGTATATAAAGTGAAAAGACATTTCAAAGCAATTTTTTGTAATGACATTGCTCATTAGTTACTTTGCTCATTGCAAACCTTACTGATACCTTTAGCAGTGTATGTAACTACATGCCATGGACCGATGAGCCGGATCTTCAGCTAAAAATTGCACATAAATAATGAAGTCATTGATTCCATTAATTAAATTCTGTATAACTACGCTGATTCAGACTTTCTGAAAATCTGAAAGACACTGCAGGTTTGCTGAGTGGCAGGACCTGTTCCACATCATTACAGTAAAAATGTGTGAGTTTCCCTTAAATATTCCCCAGCTGAGAAACAGATGTTCTTGATCATATAATTCAGAAGTATTTTAAGTTTACAAGACAAGACCAGAATAGATACGCCACTGTACTAAGCTGTTCCTCCCTTTTTCATTCCTGAAAAGTTACACATGTATACATATAAAATTAAAGATAATAAAAGTTGAACCAGTCATGAAGGTATGCAAGGCCATTTTCCTGCCAAATCTTTAAAAATCACTTTGGGTTTTAGTACTTGTATATCCCACCAGAAGTTCATCTTCAGTTTTCTCATTCTTAATTTTAATAGCCTGCTCCCAGCCATTCCGAGTACAGCATATAAATTGTGGGCCTTAGTTCTGCAGGATACTTAAGCAGTACTGTCCCACTGAAGTGTTTTTAACTGTTTGTAATAAATAGCGGTAAAGTAGCTCAATACTTTAAATACTGCCAGTCACGTCTGACCCAGCTAATCCATTCAAGATTATCAGTAAGTGAATAGTTTACTCTTAGCATGCTTGCACTTCTGATTTCTCAGATCCTGGGTCCTGCTAATGCTTATTTGTCAAAGCAAGCAATGCTGACCTGTCTGTAGCTCTGTTTAAATCAGTGGCAGATTTACCAACAGCTTCAATGGGAGCAGAGTTCAGTTGTTCTACGAGCACAAAGTTGTTCCCGTCTATAAAAGTGTTTGCAGGATCAAGGAATAAAACCTCATAAAAAGTTTGCGAGCTGTTCTCAAATTCTGCAGATCTGGTAGCACTTCATCTCTGTATACAAACGCAAATCAAAGTCAGGATAAAATCAAAGTGCCAGTAAAACAAATGCTGTTTAGCAGACTTCAAGGCCTTGCTTTTCAAACAAGTGCCTTTTTTTTTTCCCCGCTGAAATAAAAACAAATACAACATAGGTTTCAGTCTTAAAGGAAAATGTAGAACAAATTAGTATTTTCTGCCAGTGTCTTTTCAAAATCTATCTTTTAGGAAATGTAATACTGTGGATAAATTGTATTGCTTCCATTAGAAGGTCAACCAGTTGAGCTGAAAACAGTTTAAACACATGCACTTTAGTAGCCAGACGTTAATATGCCTTAAATCACAACATTAATAATGTTGACATTGATATAGTACTTGATGGCAAAAGGTGATCAGCTCAGTAACACAGGGAGAGGAACATTAGAAAAGTCTCTGTAGCCTAATAGTATTTCTTAAAAACCACTAAAGATTCTTGTTCAAATTGTAGAGACTATGATCAATGGTAAGGTCAAAGTGCTAACAGGGACTCAACTGGCTAGTTGCTTTTTTGTTTGCCTTTTGATAGATACGTTTTAAAAGACCACAAAGGCACTGTTTCATTGACTGCAGCAGGAATGTCTAAAGTAAGAAAGCCATCAAGTCAGCCTTCTGGGCTTCTATGTCCATAAAATGTGCTTTGCATTTAAATCAGAAGCTCCTCATCTAAACTTTTATGGTCTATAACTGACTGGTTAGTGATTTGTAACAAGTAAACGAGACAAAAACAGTGAAAAACCCAAGTTCACAACAAGTTTCTAATGTAAATATCCGTAGGAAGGAATTTGTGCTGGCAGTATTGCCAAGACGCCAAAATCGTGGTCTCAGTTTTCTCTCTCAACATTTTTCTTAAAATTGATGACTCGGAGGTATCTGCCATATATTCCCTACTACCAAAATAAATAAATACTATTTCTTAATTAAAAGTACATTCATTCTTCACAGAGGCCCAGCCAGAAGCTATTTCAGGTTCATAAAGGAAGAATAATGTCACTCCAGGATTCCCCAGCATCGTTACGCGTTAATAAGTTTATTCAAACAAGTCTGTCCAGCTGTCAGACACACAGCCCAAGTGTGGGCTTTCTCAGTGTGCTAATTTTCTCAGATTACAAAGGAGAACATTCTCCATCAAAAAGGGGGCTTGTTCTCTCACATCTGACTTTCTGGCTTTACTCTTTCCTATATGCAACTTGTATGTAGGTCTTGTTTTCTTTCTGAGCAGAGAACAGAACTGAACTCAGCTGAATGGCTGGTTGAGGCTAAGTACAGCTTGGAGTTGAAAAAGCACATGAAATGTTTGCTAACTGCTAAGACATCTCCCTTCTAATACTCTCACTCAATCCTGGACAGAAGTGAAGTCTTCACTTCAAAAGACGGAAGAAGGACAACAGATTCACTCCAACACCTTTTTGCCCTCCCAGCACACAGCTCACACGTTATTCCCAGCATGAAACCACAACATCTGATCAGCAAAAAATGAACACACTGAGCACCAAGATCCGTGCTTCAAAATTTGAAGTTAATACTTCACTGCTTTTAGGGAACCATAAATAAAAGCTGAGTGCCAGGGTTTTGAGCTCTCCCCTTTACTGTACTTTGCTACTTTGGTTGAAAGTTTTCTTCCATTTCTCCCACAATCTATTTGCAAGGGAGGGAAGGAAGCGAGAGGTAACTATCTGAACATGGCACTCAGTAGGCTCCATCACAGGCACTCTGCAATTTTTATTCCATCCTGGTTTTAAAGCATTTGAAAGCGTCTTTTATACAAGTACATTTCTCCTCAGCGGAAAACTCCCACTCTGCAGGGAGTTGCACTGATCAGGAGCTTCTCAAGGCCTTAGTGTGTCTCTGAATACAAAAGACTTCGGCCCAAGCAGTCCTGCTCTGGGGGTGACTGAATATGTAAAGGTTTTAAAAGCAGTACCTTCCTTCAGCCTCACAACTGTACTTTCTAAGACAAGTATTTGTATATTCTTTGTCTGGAACAAATCCAAAAGTGGTAAAACATTTCAACCTGCTGACAAAGTAATACTGAAAGGTTGTCCTCCCTTAGCTCTTTAGAGGACTTCAACCTGGCCTTAACACCTCTTACTGCATGAGAAGGGTCTTAATGGTGGACTGTTGGCCATCTGCTTGGCAACGGGCCTGGGCATCCTTCAAGTTACCTTACTTAGGCATCCTAAACCCCTTTTCATCAGGGTGAGAAGCACTTTTCTTCAGCCTTCCCCAGCACCACTGATGACTTAACGCTAGTCCAGTCTCTGTAGTCCATCAGACAATTACCATCATAGAGCTGGGCTGGCACAGAAACCTCCAGGTAGATTTTTACTTCTGCTCTAGGGCAAAGAATTTTGGAAAGAAAAACCTGTTTCACAAAGCTTTCTTCTCTGAAAAGTGGAGGGGTGGGGTTTTTGCTTTTTACCTATGTTGAAAACCACATTTATGTGTACAGACAAATGTAAAGATCACTTTCTTTAGCTTCAAGACAGCAAGAACAAGATTTTTTTCCTCCTGCTTGTACCAGGGTCAGTTGCCAAAATGTAGTGAGAAAGCCTCACACAGTATAAAAGGAAATAGTTCTTCTTATTTATTTCCCTAACATACTTTTCTGGATGAAACCTATTAATGGAATAGCAAAAAAGTGGGCCCTGCTGGTCAATTATGTCAGAAGTCGGCACAGAAGAAAAACCCACCACTTTTTAGAGAGAGACACAAAAGGACAGAGTACTTATGCAAGCTTTGGATAATGCTGTCTGAATGTTTGAACTTTTTTTACCCATCATTGTCCTCTCATTTCAGATTTCTACTGCTCATTTCAGTCTTGTTAGAGAAAGGACTGTGATTTTTATAAATTTGCAGGCAGGTCATAATTTTAAATCAGCAGTACAATAATTCAATAATCTGTTGCAAATGAAGGATCTTCTGAGCTTATAGAGGTTAATTTACTATTATCACTAACTCCTAATTCATTATTATGAGCGGTTGCAGGTATAATGTCATAGCGCACGTTCATTTCTTCTTGTCTTGCTACAAATGCCATATGGATTTCCATAACTAGCTCTTTGAGCTCTCCTTGGCTCGGCATTTGATATGGAGCCAATAATCTTTCAGACAGTTCTCTTGTGCAGACGCTGTTTTGAAATTGCATACAAAAATTTCTCTTGAACATCTCTCAAAATGTCACTTTTACCTGATTTTAATTACCTGTGTGTAAAAGCTACATCATATATGAAATTTTTACATTGAGCATATTAACACAGCCCCGACATTACCACACTCTGTGGATGCCACCATTGTCTGCTATCTCACTGATGCAGATCTAGACCAGGTGTTGAATGCTTCAGTGTCTCCCTTCTGCAATGGAGGTGGCTGATAGGTTTCGTATTATTTTATACAGAGTTCACGACAGTAGTATCAAATGAGAGGAAATGGCCTCAAGCTGCACCAGGGGAGGTTTAGATTGGATATTAGGAAAAATTTCTTCACGGGAAGGGTAGTCAAGCATTGGAACAGGCTGCCCAGAGAGGTGGTAGAGTCACCATCCCTGGAGGTGTTCAAAAAACGGACAGATGTGGCACTTTGGGACATGGTTTAGTGGACATGGTGGTGTTGGGTTAATGGTTGGACTGATGATCTTAGAGATCCTTTCCAACCTTAGTGATTCCTAGTTTTTACTTTCATTAAAAAGATAATCCAGCCACCAAGCCAGGAAACATGAAACTATTACTCTCCCTTAATTGGTTTAGTGGTGGAGTTGGTAGTGTTAGGTTAATGGTTGGACTGGATGATCTTAAAGGTCTTTTCCAACATAAACGATTCTATGATTCTGTCTGAGCCCTAGTTGAGCACTAAGTATTCTTTCGTCTCAAGACCGTACAGTACACTAGACTATCTGAAAGAGCATGCGTCTAGCAGGGTCTCTGGAAGCACTCCAGCGGCTGCTGTCTGCAGCGGAAGTACGGAACGCTGCAGGCTTGCAGGATTGGGCCCCTGGGCTCTCCAGAAGTGCAACGCTGGAGAGGAGTAAGAAACGGGAAGTCCAGTGGCATTGCAAACACATGAACCTTTGAAGTTCTCTAGGCCCATATTAATTCCTAGAGTTTAACTAATTGCTGGTACAATTACACAAGCTACCATAATACCTGTACTTCCAGGTGCCAATTTTCTGTTCTGCGTTTCCTTTTCATGTATCTGTGCGCTACACAGACTCTGCTCTGAACATGGGAAATAATCTCTGCTTTGAAGACTCTGGAGTTGGTTCTTCAACTCCAGCTGGAATTGCACACTTCTCTCTCTAATATTTCAAACCTTTATGATTATATTAAAACTTATTGATGCAAAGACCCACAGAAAGCAGCTGTTCCTATCTTTAAGTACACAAAATTATCATATTTGGGTAGCAAACCCACTTAACTCTTTTCCTACCAAGGACTAGAGGGATTGTACCCAAGGGTAAGTCTGTCAAATAATTACTCATAAAAATTCAGATTCTAAACACCTGCTCTAAGAATTTTTTGTTTGGTTTAGCTTTTTGCTGCTTTTTTGTGAGCATGTTTTTGAACTATATACGTGTTTTCCTCTTAAAATATATGATGTTTAATTTACCAGATGATTTACTACCTTCTGGTATGTCACAGGTGACATCTTGGATGGTGCATTTTAAATTTAAACCCATCCTTATTTTCTCATTATAACAATACACTTCATAGTCATGTTATGTTGGAAAAACACCTATTGTTATTCAAGACACGCAGCAGGTAAGAATGAAACAAATAGCTTGCTCCGTCCTCTCCTTCCACTCCAAAAGGTGCTGGCAAGTGTTTATGGTTACACAGGGTCTATTTAAATAATGACCAAAGTCACTGTGCTTTTTTTGTTTGGTTGGGTTTTTTGTGCATTTATTTTTAACATGATACATATTTTTTCACTGCCAGTATGACAAACAGTATCATGAGCTACAGCACTAGTTCCTTGCCACTATTTCATTGTCACGTTTTCAAATACGTAAACTATATAAAAACTTTTTTCAAGACATGAAATCTTTTTGTTAAAGTATGCAGGAAATATGGGAATCATTCTAGGCCTGAATTAGGCCCAATACACGAATTCCCACCTCGTCCCCAGTTCGCACCATGATTAAGTGCAGAATAAACACATTGACTGCAGTGGCGTTCCCAAGGATCAAATGAGATCAGAATCGAATCCACTTTGTCTCATCTTTTCTTCTGAAAAATTTCCATCCCCTCTCTAGAAAGCCCCAAACGCTTTAGAAATCTGAAGAAAAAAAAAACCCCAACCCACTACTAAAGCATTGTGTTCAAACCTTCCACTAACAAAAGAGGGAGAAAAAGAGCAGTAGTTCACCATGGATACTATTGATTGAAACCATTTAAATACCATCTGAAATGTCACTGACATTTACAGCTATGTTTCTTTTTTTAAAAAAAAAAAAAGAAATTACACATGTTGACAAGTAAATAACATGAGATTGCTGATCTTGGCAGCTGTCATCTAGACATGCCAATAAATTATTCATACCAGCTTGTTTTATTGTCTTGCCCCTTACAAAAGGCGCAGCGCAGGTCAAAACAGAGAGACATTCAGAAATAATGAGTCGCGTTATCAGGACTTTTCCACTGGAACGGACATGTCCAAGCACAAGCCTGCAGTTCAGGGTCTGCCCTTGGCCTGGGACAGCCCTCGGGTCCCACACGGGCCGTGCCAACTTTCTCAGCCTGCATCCCTTTGCCCCTCTGCCCGGTCCCGCTCTTGCCCTTTGCAGCAACGGGGCTGAAGCCCCACAGCCACTGCCTCCGTCCTGCCTGGCATTAGCTGCAGAGGAGCGGGACCTTTCAAAGCCTCGCTCGCTGCCAAGCACTCTTCTAAGGGAAGTAAAAACCAGAAGTACAGTTGCCATTACAGCTCTGCCTATGAATCATAGAATCGTTTAGGTTGGAAAAGACCTTTAAGATCATCCAGTCCAACCATTAACTTAACATTACCAAGTCCACCACTAAACCAGTCAAAGGTAAACTAGACTAAACCATGTCCCCAAGTGCCACGTCTACCCGTGTTTTGAATGCTCCACCACCTCTCCGGGCAGCCTGTTCCAATGCTTGACTACCCTTTCCGTGAAGAAATTTTTCCTAATTTCCAACCTAAACCTCCCCTGGCGCAGCTTGAGCCCATTTCCTCTCGTCCTATCGCTAACTACATGGGAGAAGAGACCAACACCCACCTCACTACACCCTCCTTTCAGGGAGTTGTAGAGAGCGATCAGGTCTCCCCTCAGCCTCCTCTTCTCCAGGCTGAACACCCCCAGCTCCCTCAGCCGCTCCCCACCAGCCCTGTGCTCCAGACCCTTCCCCAGCTCCGTTGCCCTTCTCTGGACACGCTCCAGCACCTCAATGTCTTTCTTGTAGTGAGGGCCCCAAACCTGGACACAGCATTCCAGGGGCGGCCTCACCAGCGCCGAGCACAGGGGACAATCACCTCCCTGCTCCTGCTGGCCGCACCATTCCTGACACAAGCAGAAACATCCTTCCTCCCTACGGCAGCATCCTCAGGACTGACACAGCGGTCGCAATAAGCTGGTTAAGCGCGTTAGGCTCCCCAGGGTCCTTCGGCTCCCAGGGTGTCCCTGGGAAGCCAGAAGGCAGAGCTGAAGGATGTTACGTGGATGGTCACACCGACCGCGCACCAGCCAGGAGCATCCCACAGTTTGTGGGTATCTCTGTAGATTTTACAACTCTTTACACCAACCAGCGTCACAGAGCAGCAGCAAACATAGGAAAAAAAAAAAAAACCCACATGAAATTCTCGTGGCAAAAAAGCATAGAGGAACATATATTTTAAGATGGCTTAAATGTCTCCAAGACTAACAAGACCACCAAAGAACACTAGAAATCATAAGCCACAACCTGCTGAAACCAAACCCCTGCAAGATATTGAAGTGCTTATTATATTTCTATTACCAATACTGAATGCTTTGCTGACAATATATTGACCTTCAGTCATGCTTTTGAGAAATTTATTACTTCATTTCATGAAAATTACACGAGTTAAGGTAATAGAGTATTATATTTTTTCTGAAAAGCCAGAAAATTTCCCTGCTTGTAAGGAAATACATATCAGCTGTGGCAAATATTGAAATCATACTTTAAGTATTTTAGCATTTGAAGTCTTACCACTACATGAAATATAGGTAATTTTTCTTCTTTAAGATCAATAAAAGGTCTGTTTTCAAAATGACTTCATATTGATTGAAGGGTCAAAAATGTCCAAGGTATTGATTGTCTGCATATAATCACGTTTTGCTCAGTAAGTTAACCTCGTCTACAAGTGAAATGAAAAGAGATCCACTATATCACTTAAGCAAAATATTTTCATTGTATTTGAAAAATTGCTTCCATCAGTCACCCGTGTCTCACTGACAATGTATTTTCTTTTTTTTTTTTTTTTTTTTTTTTTAAACTCTCAGGAAGTAGATTTACATAGAGTGAACAGCCAGGACAAGCTTGGCCTTACTGTATGTTACAGAACAGATGATGAAGATGACATGGGTATTTATGTGAGTGAGGTAAGATTGAGCTGATTTCCATAAGATGCAATTTGTCTTTTAAACTGCAGTGTTAGGCATTTAAGACATTTGTCTTCTGTTTGTACCATGTTCAAAAAACAGCCAGAATGCAGTAATTGGAAGAAATCTAATTATTTTTCCTTTTCTCCAAACTGAGTGAAATCCTCCATCCATTGAAGTCAAACTTCATTATATTAATGTTTAGTGTTCATTTTTCCCTAACACAGTCTCAGCATTCAATTGCAGGTGATGTTTTCAAAGAATTTTTAATAGATCCCCCCTTTAATTTTTGTTCTCAATTATTCCAGCAACAATATAAATGGGAAAAAAAACACCCCACATTTTTATTTGCAAAGATTTGGGGCCTATTTGTTTCTCTGCCCTCTTTCATGAAATAAGTAGCATTTTATATGTAATCTTTTTATCATGCACATATCCACTTCAGATTAGTAGCAGCAGTTTGGGGAAAGAAACTCATAACTAAATCTAAAATCTTCCATAAAAATGCGTCACTTAAGACATAATCCTTCCTGTTCTGTATGCAAAAACTGGTTCTAATCAGAGCGCTGTTTTACAAAGCAAAACGTTAAATTTTGAGGTAACTCAATATGACACAAACATGATAAACCTACATTCTCTGAAGACACATCTCAGGAAGAAATGTTTTGGTTTTGACTTGGTCATTTTAATTCGCATTTCACTTTGTCTGACGTAAGCAAGGAAAAGTCCTGTAATCACGAAGCAAGACATAACAACCACAGGTATAGCAGCAATGACAGACACACTGGTATCAATCATACTACCAATACTGGGCTTACAACGGGAAGTAAAATACTGAGCTGTCAAACCTCCAAAGCACTCACAGCTCTCTTATTTTGTAGATTGATCCCAACAGTATTGCTGCAAAAGACGGTCGACTCCGAGAAGGGGATCGCATTATTCAGGTACGTCTGTAAACGGTTGAAAAAGTCTACTAACACACTATAATCACAGAATCATAGAATTGTTTAGGTTGGAAAAGACCTTCAAGATCATCCAGTCCAACCATTAACCTAACATTACCAAGTCCACACTAAACCAATTAAGGGTAGAGTAGCAATTTCATGTTTCCTGGCTTGGTGGCTGGGTTATTTATAATGAAAGTAAAAACTAGGAATCATTAAGATTGGAAAGGACCTCTAAGATCATCAGTCCAACCATTAACCTAACACTACCAAGTCCACACTAAACCAATTAAGGGTAGACTAGACTAAACCATGTCCCAAAGTGTGCTACAACGTCTTTATTTCAGTATAATTTTTACAAATCATTCCCTTCAGACTGGTTCATACACTTCATTTTAACTTTCTGAGGATATTTCCCTTTCTGCTGCCATGTCTCAGTCAGATTTTGATAGTCCTGACCAGGTAAAGCCCTGTATTGGCCCTATTCTGCAGGCTAAGCGTTTTGTCAGCAGATGTCATAGAATCATAGAATCACAAAATCATTTAGGTTGGAAAAGACCTTTAAGATCATCCAGGCTAACCATTAACCTAACATTACCAAGTCCACCACTAAATCAGTTTTGGGGAGAGTAGCAATTTCATGTTTCCTGGCTCGGTGGCTGGGTTATTTATAATGAAAGTAAAAACTAGGAATCATTAAGGTTGGAAAGGACCTCTAAGATCATCAGTCCAACCATCAACCCAACACCACCATGCCCACTAAACCATGTCCCAGAGTGCCACATCTACCCATTTTTTTAACATCTCCAGGGATGGTGACTCCATCATCTGTTTCCAGCACACATTCTGATGCACCTCCACTTTTCAGTCTTCCTTCTACCACAGAAACCCTCTATTTTGGCCCAAGTAATTATTCCTCTTTGCCGAAACTCTCCGGGCAGCCCTATTTGTTCACAGGCATGTTTTCAGCAGGCTGAACACCCACCGCTGCGTGCCAGAAGGAGTCGCCTTCCAAGTGCGGCGATCCTACGCCATAGGGCCTTCATCAGAAGTAGCCTGTCTTCTGCACAGACACTAACACGAGTAGAGGTCCACATCCCATTCAGTCTCTGGGAGCAGCATCCACGGCCTCACCTGTCCCACGCAAGGGTGCTCCTGTTCCTTCCCACCCACCAGACCTGATGTTATGATTCTGCTCCTGCCCAACTCTCCTCCAGTTTCTGTCCTCGTAACAAGGCTCTGCACATCACATGCAGAGGTATGGAACAGCTTCACGGGTCCACACCAACACACTTGCCCAACGTTCTACTTGAACAACATGGCTAGAGATGTGAACAGGGACTGTGCCTGGCCTGTGCTGGGATCTATCAGCCATGCAGTTCTGTAGAGCTCATCTCAGCAGCATTTCAGTATCCCTATGAAAGGATTTCATTCTGTTGTTCTTTTCTTTAAAGATCAATGGCATAGAGGTACAGAACCGAGAAGAAGCTGTGGCACTTCTCACCAGTGAAGAGAGCAAGAATATCTCCTTACTTGTTGCAAGACCAGAAATTCAGGTACTGTAGCAACAGCAAAAAAAACCCTCTTGAGTCTTAATTGAAACAGTTGCTGGTTTGTAGAAAGCCGTTAGCATCTTTTGAAGAATTTTAACCTACCTAAGTCTACCAAATCTACCTAAAACCATATTGTACAGTTTGACTGGACATGTATAAGGTCTAAAATAATGGAATTCAGCAGTCACAGTACTTACATATATGCTTTATATTAAAATTCAATTTATAAGACATTCAGGGATTTATATATGCCGCAATGCTATTACAAACATCAGTGCAAGGTATTACGGATGGTTTCAAGCCATAGCTTTGAAGAACATATTGAACTCTAATTCCTATAGCTATTGATTATTCATGCATTAAAACACCTATCATTTAGCCCTTCATACACCATCTCTTAATGTAGTTAAACACCGTCAAGGAGCATCCTCAGCTGTAATAAAAGGTTGAACCAGATCCCTTTGTAGAGCAGGGATTAGCACAACAAAAGATGTTGAACAAACAGCCATGACTCCTATTGTTTGATCTGTCTCTGCTCTTCCTGCTGTGAGAGCAACCCCTTGCCAACGCACCTGCAGACACAGGGTCAGGCTCACGACTGTCCGGTTAGCCTAGAAGTTTCTGATCTTTCCCTTGGGGATAATTGAGGCTGGGAGTAAAAAAAAAGTCTTACAGACCCCTAGCAAGCATTTTTCCCTCTGGCCCTTGATGCTGTCTTGCAAGTGGCACGGTCAAGCTTTGGGCTCTGGAATGCTTTTATACATCCTCGTCAAGTCACGCACAAACCAAAATAGCCCCAACTTTCCAGGGATGAAAAGGCTGGCTTTGTTTGATATATAAAGGGCTGTTGAGGATAAAACCATGCTGCTGGAGATGGAGGCGGCTGGGGGGCAGGTAGGACAGTCAATACCCGCGCTTAGCCCAAGGAGAAGCGTGCTCCTTCCCAGGACACGGCAGCTCTGTCACAGGAAGGAATCTCCTAAGATTTTCCAATCGCTTTCCGCAAAGAAGGAACATAATTTATGTCAGTCTTCATTCTTTTGACAACATTTGGTTTGATTTTCCCTCCCTTTTCACATAGCTGGATGAAGGATGGATGGATGATGACAGAAATGATTTTCTGGATGACTTGCACATGGACATGTTAGAGGAACAGCACCACCAGGCAATGCAATTTACTGCCAGCATGCTTCAGCAGGTACTGCCGTTCTGTTGTGCAGGGGTGTCAAAACTTCACATTGCACTCAATATTCCAATATTGAGCTTGACTGAATGCATTTAGTGTCTCGAATGACAATCAAGGCAAAAGGACTTTCTGTAAAATCAAGATATTACATGACTATCCACAAACTTAAGCTGGGGGACCAAAATGTTTTCAAATGTTACCTTTTTTATTTTGCCCCTTACAACACGATCACGGTTCTTAGAAATCCACCATTCTGGCTGTAATCACCGAGAGAAGTAGAAGCTGGGTGTATGATAGATATAGCAGGCAGGCAGCTAACTTACAAAATTTCCTATTTGATATACACGCACATACTGAAAACAGCCTGCCTCCTGAAACCTTAAAGTCCAAACTCGGGAAAATGACTGAAAGAAAGTCTATACATGAGGGGAACGGCAAAGAAAAAGTTTTTACATAGCAGAGTTGATGCAGGGCCACAGATTTGGGCCTGTATTCCCTGTCATTCTGCCATGATTAACGCAATCACACAAGTTCATGAACGCACTTTCAGTTTTTGTCTAGAGTTTTTTCTGGAGTTTTCTACAACTCTACATCCTCTTGGGGAGCCACGTTTTCTGAAGGGACATATTCTCACTTTGGCACTGCAGTAGAACAGGATACTTTCGTGCACCTAAGCGGGAGAAGAAACAATTTGAAAATGTGACTTCTACCATTGTTGCTGTGTAACTGAAAAGCAGACCTCAAGTTCTTCTGAAAAGGTCATCCACAGCATGCTGTGTTTTCAGTCACCATTTCTAAATGGTAACAGGCAGCAAGTGTAATGGGTGACAGATTAAGAAAACTATGAAAAGATAAACACCCTGAAACATTTTATGTCCTTGCAGTAATTTCTCTTTCTGTCTTTTCATTTTTGCTGTTAGAAGAAGCATGAGGAGGATGGAGGTACCACAGATACAGCCACTATTTTATCTAACCAGCACGAGAAGGACAGCGGCGTGGGGCGCACAGACGACAGCACTCGCAACGATGAGAGCTCCGAGCAGGAGAACAACGCAGATGATCACACCACCTCCTCCAACACTTTAGGGAGCCAGAAGCAGCTGACATACAGTCATGACACCCTAGGAAGCGGCGATATGCAGTTCAGCAACGAATCATTTATCTCGGCCGACTGCACAGACGTCGACTTCCTTGGCATCCCCGTAGACGAATGCGAGCGATTCCGGGAACTGCTGGAACTGAAGTGCCAGGTGAAGTCTGCCAACCCTTACAGTCTGTATTATCATAACAGCACGCTGGATATGAGCAAGAGCGACCAAGAAAGCGTGGACAGAGAGCTGGAGATGCTGAATGAGGAGCTGCGCAATATCGAGCTAGAGTGCCTGAATATCGTCAGAGCTCATAAAATGCAGCAGCTGAAAGATCAGTACCGGGAGCCCTGGATGCTACACAACAGCGGGTTCCGCAACTATAACACAAGCATCGACGTTCGCAGGCACGAGCTCTCAGACATTACGGAGCTCCCCGAGAAGTCTGACAAGGATAGCTCAAGTGCATATAACACAGGCGAAAGCTGCCGAAGCACACCACTCACGCTGGAGATTTCCCCTGACAATTCGCTGCGCAGAACTGCAGAAGGCATTAACTGTCAAGGTAATGAGGGGGCAGTGGCATATAATGTCTCCCAAAAGAATTTATTTGCTAGCTCAGAAAGTCATGAATCCAGCACTGGTAAATGCCATGCCTCTGCTAAAGATCCCGACCTTGGCAAGCAGCTGGAAAGCAAGGAGAAAAAAGCCGGCGATGGAAGCAAAAGCCCTACTCATGGTCAAAAACCTTCGGGCTCCTATGTCTCCCCGTACCACCACTCTCCATACAAGCATGCTCATATTCCTGCCCACGCACAGCACTATCAGAGCTACATGCAGCTGATCCAGCAGAAATCAGCGGTGGAGTACGCACAGAGCCAAATGAGTCTGGTGAGTATGTGCAAAGACTTTAATTCGAGCCAGAGCGAACCGAGGATGGAGTGGAAAGTCAAGGTCAGAAGCGATGGGACCCGGTACATTACCAAGAGGCCGGTGAGGGACAGGCTGCTGAGGGAACGTGCCATAAAGATTAAGGAGGAGCGCAGCGGTATGACTACCGATGACGATGCCATAAGTGAAATGAAGATAAGAGCGGAAGCAGCATTTAGTGAAAGCGAAGGAGCAGAGGAGGCGGCGTGAGTTTATGATGCAGAGCAGGTTGGATTGCTTAAAGGAACAGCAAGGTGCAGAAGAAAAGAAAGAGATGAATATCATTGAACTGAGCCACAAAAAAATGATGAAGAAGAGAAATAAAAAAATATTTGACAATTGGATGACAATCCAAGAACTGCTAACCCACGGAACAAAGTCACCAGACGGCACACGGGTGTACAATTCCTTCCTGTCAGTGACTACTGTATAATCACCATTGCTAAATTATGTACATAAAGCACTACCATTGGGGTAGAAATCAATGCCTCGTTCAATGTGGCAAGATTTTTGTATATAAGATGCAGTCATTGAGTTTATGGTTCAAATACTGAACTCTACAACTGTGGGTGCCGGGATCTCCATTATAAAGTGGAGAGGAAGCTTGCCCATCTCCTTCAAAGGCAATATTAGCAGTGCTTTTTGGAATACTGATTGTACTTTTTTTACTTGTTACCTTTTACATCAAGTGTTTAAATATCAGAAACGTATTAACCATACTTACACAGGTAATTTGCTTAAACTATATTCATATTAAAAGGTACCCATGCTTTTCTTTACCTTAAAAAAAAAAAATTGCAAAAAACCCACAAGAGCAACTGCACATACGTATTTTTTGTGAAACCATATTTTGTGATATTATTTTGCTGTTGTTCACTTCTACACAGAGTGCTGTTTATCAGTATTTAGGTCAAGGTTTAAACTCAGAATTAGAGTAATTCTCTTGTAATATTTAACATTTATCAAACAGCAGTTTTTAGAGTTATGCTCGACATTTAAACATTTTTCTTTTTAAGGTTCCTGAAGAAAGTATATAGGTTTCATCTGAAAAGCCTGAAGCAAGGTACACTATACTGCAGCTTTAAAGGATTTTAAGGCATGTTTGCAAATGTTGCAACCTATTGAAAAAATGTGCATGTACAGCTAATTTGTTTATATAAGACAGTTTGTGGAATTTGAAAAGCCCATGGTAGTAACTGTTTGCTTTATAGATTTGAATGTATTGAATTATAAAAGCAGTTTCATGAAATCATCATTAGCTACAAACGTTAACAAGTAAAATGAAGTAAAATAAATTATTGTTTTATATTTCAAACTATTTTAAATTCTTTTGACTCTCTTCTGGTTTCACCGTGGAGAGGATTCTTTCCTTGAGCGTAGCTCCTGTGCTGCAGAAATGCCTGGACAGCCTGCTGGAGTCAAACCTGACAGAATAATCTGCAGCCTGACTTTGGGGGGAATTTGGATTGCGGTTTTCTTGAGGGAAGGAGAGATGGAGGGAAGAGGCAAGAGAGAAGGACAAGGAATATCAAGAGTAGAATCAAGCAATGCACATCTTCAACTCACAAGGCATTTAAGATGACCTGTAAGTGAGAAAGAAACAGGACTTCTGCTCCCCTTTTGCTTGGTTTTGTGGTGTCTTAGTGGTATATAAAACCCACCTACAACCTTCAGTGTGGGTTTGTGTTAGAAACAGACAATACATAAATTAAAGCATGTATAAATTAAAGCAAATAAATATATAAATTAAAAGAGACAGTGAAAAAGACAAAAACTAAATGTCAAAGAGGTATCACTCTCCTTTTCTTGTTTTCTATTTCTAATTAAGAATTCAGATAGAAATTGGAATATTCTGCTGGATTAAGTAAAGTAGCCTCATTACGAATAGCTCCCAGATCCTCCCATCCCCTCTCCCTTTTCCCTTGGCCCCTCAGAAAACTTGCTCCCAAGTTCTAAGTTTTTGTTCTGGACTCTTCTGTCATAACTATACACAGCAAAAATTATAATCTTAATGACACAAGCGAAAAATTGGAAGGAGAGGGATTAACAGCTTCTCAGTGCCTATTCTGTCTGTTATCAAGAAGCAAACAACAGGTTTGTTCAGGTTTTTTTCCACTGCCTTCATGGACTAGCACTGAATTCGCATTGAATGTACGTCTACCATATTCCACAGTAAACTCTTTTACATACCCGAAAATGCGTCTTCAGCCCATGTAAATTCTCACTGCCCCTTGAAATCTGGCACTCATGTCAATAAGCCTCTGTGAATTTATCTTCAAATGATATCTCCTTTGGGATAAAGTGCCAGTCCTACTGTAGTCCATGAAAGATTTTCTATTGACTTTGTTAGGGCCAGGATTTCACCTGACATACTACCAGTCATCATCATCACGAGCGGTACAGCAGGAAAAATATGCATTTTTCACAACACACTGCTTTCAACATGGGACGCTTGCTATCTCTGTCTCACTTCTGCTTTACTCCAAGTTCATGTTCTGTTCTTCCCAACTGCAGGCGAGAGCGCCACAGCAAAATACTGCCTCTCCTGGAGTTCAGAAATTCAGATGCACAGGCAGAGCTCTGATTAGTGGGGAATCACAATCCTTAAACCAAGCATGAAAAGACAGTTAAGCCGTCTTTAGTCTACCTGGAAATACTAGAGAAAGATTTGAAATGCTCTAACGAGGAAGAATTATCATCAAGGTGTTCCTCATAAAAATAGGCTCCTTTGGAATAGCTTCACAGGTAATGGTTCCTTTAGGGATCAGTTATATAAATGCTGAGCGTTGTATGCATGTGTGTAACAGCAGAAACGTATTTGGGAATTCAAGTGTGATGTGTAGAAATTACACCAAAACATCAACAGTATAAAATTTACATTCTTTAAGATGTTGAAATAAAATTATTGGCCAAGAATTGCTCTCACACCTTTGAGTTTTTCCTCGCTAAACATTTGTTGTTATTTTGGTCAGTTAAAAATCACCTCTCTCCTTGAGTATTGTGATTTATTAACTAGCATCAGTTCACAGAATCCATCAGTTATCCTGGAAATCTGGGCAAAAGCTTTGCAACCTGCAAATTTTCCTTTTCCTTTCTCAGTTGTCTTACCACACACTCTTTTTCTTTGCCTAATCAAAGTACTTAATGCGGCGTTGAAAAGGGAGATTTTTTTGGGGTCTTTTTATTGCTTGCAAGGAAACATTGGAAATTACCATAATGTTAGTCCAAACCTGACCTCATTACAGTGAAATGAATCAGACTACAAAGCAGCCTTTGATGCCTAAGAGGAAATATTTCATCCAACAGCTTTTCTAAAAATTGCATTATAGTACACACCCCAGCGCTTAAAAGATAACAACTGAAATTGTTGTTCTAGTTGCCTACAGGACATCTCATGCAAGAAATCTCCATGCGACAGTGGAGATCACATCTCCTGTCTTACTACAGGCTTTACCTGAAACCCAGCGCTCTCCACCGGCTCCTGCAGAGCAGCAGAGCCGTCCTCACAGCCTGGGCACGGCGTCCTGTCCCACAGCAAGCTGCTGACTCAGCATGGTGGGTTGACCCTGGCTGGACGCTCAACTTCAGCCCCAGTTACTCAGACTCCTGCAGGGATCAGCACTGGGAGATGTGTTCCTTCCGTTGGGGAGGCTCACTCCAAGTGTTTTTTGACGTTCGTTTAAACCTGGAAGGAGCTAAAGGGAGTGTTGCTCACCCAGAAGTAGAAATCTTCATTTCCATCCTCCTCCTTTTCCCTTCTTCCTCAGCCACTTTACTGAGCATCATCTCAAGCTTGGGAGATAACTGAGCCCAGAACAGCACGTACGCAGGGAGAGATCATAAGTGTGCAAAGGGGGAACAAGCAATTGCCAAGCAGCCAGGGAGGTTTTCCCAGAGCCCCTCTCGGAGCCCGTGCGTGCTCCCCAGAGGCTCTCCCGCAGCCGGTTTTCTTTCCGACTGCCCCACGCCCCATCTCGCTTTTGCCGGGGTAGCAGTGCGACCCGGTTACAGACCAACGCCTCGGTCCCCGTCCTGCGCCAACTGCGGCGAGCCAGAGGTGTCAACGGGACGCCCTGGAGACAGGTTGGCACGGAATTTGGCCTGATTCTTTGCAATAAAAATAGGCTCTGTGTCAAACTGGGGTCAGTTTCCCTAAATTGTAGAACGACTCCCAGACGTAAGATCTGTAAAGATGTAAAATACTTACTTGTGAATAGGGTTTAAATCCGCACGGAATCACCCAGTTTAGATGTGCACTGAAATGGGAAAGCCCTGAACCAAACCTAACAGCATTTTTTTGTAAATTAAAAGAAGAGAACTTGCACATTAGGGATGGCAAATAAAATGAGGTAAGACTACATATCGCCTAGGGACTACTGGTTGGAGAACTAATTAGGATTATAAACTGAAAGTATGTAAATTAACCAAATATAATTATCTGCTAGTGGCCTTTGGAAATAGGTTACAGGATACTTGTTAGCAAAATTGCTCAAATGCCTGGAAGCCATACAAAGCAAGCCATAAGCAATTTAAACTCCTCTTTTTGTTTTACTTTCAGTTGTTTTCAAAGCAGTTGTTGTATTAAGGATTTATTGGAACATGAACTGATTAGAGAGAAAACTCAAAATACAAAAGCAAGACAGAAACTGTCACAGCAGATGCTGTACCTCTGTCCCAAGGCCCTGGGTTTTAGTAAATGTAAATTCTTTAATGTGACAAAATAGCAAAGATTCTGCTTGGGGTTTCATCCCAGCAGCTTCATTTCTCCACCAGAATGGCTTCTGTGGGCTTCCAGCCAGAGTTAATCTGGAAGGGTGGTGGCTTTCTTACACAAGTACGGCTTCTCAGCTCTACAGGGTTTATGAAGATGTGTTCACTGTTCAAATGCAAACATGCAGAATTAATGCCCCTTTTCTCTAAGCGGCTGTCAGGACACAAAGTAGTACTCGATGCAGGGGCTGCTGTGGGGAAAGCTGCTCCCTCACAGTTCATGTCATCGGAAACACAAGACTGGCCACTGGACAGACAGTCGTATCTATTATAAGATGGTAGTCGAGGCAGTAGTATATATTATAAATAAAAAAACAAGGGGGGGGGTTAAATACAAAGGTTAGCTGGGCTGATTTCACGCTCAAGCATGAGGGGGGGCTTTAGTACGCAGGCCTGCCACAAAGCCCACTTATGTGATCTGAAAGACTCCAGGAAATCTCAGAAGATTTGAAAATGGAGCATTAACTTACACAGTTAATTATACTAAACTGTAGTAGTGAGGGATATGAAGAGAAGGGCCACCACAGCTTTGCATATTGGAGCAGAACTTGATTTTCTGTTGCTAACCATACCTACCCACATGCCTTCTAATGGCCATTGATTAAAAAAAATATTAAACATCCTACAGCCCTGCTAACATACCACCACGCCAAGCTGTATCCCTCCAGAAGCTCCAGGAGG